CCCACTCCCACAGGCCGGCAGTGGGGCAGTACCTGCACTGAGGAGTACATTGCGGGCAGTTGGGTGCCAGGTGATGATGCCCACACGCTTTGAGTGCCCCTCCAGGACCACGACGGGCTCCGTCAGGGGCAGTGTCAGCCCATTATCCGGGATCTGCCAAACCTGCCAAGACACAGGGGTCAGAGTGGGGGTGTTGGGGTAGGGGGAATCCAGTTGTGCCCCGAAAGACCCCCAACTGCTCTGCCCCGCCTTCCGCCCAGTGACAGCCTCAGGCAAAGGACAGACTGGCCCATGAATGTCAGCCAGAAGCAGCCAGAGAGATCATGTCCCACCTTACAACCCCCTCCCCACAAACTGAATCGGCCCTCTCCTTCCACCCGTCCCCTCTCCCCCCACCACACAATTGCTCTAAAGCCTCACCATGACCGTGCAGTCCTCAGAGCCGCTGGCAATTACATTGTCATTATGCGGGCACCAGTCGATATCCAGGACTGGGCCTGTGTGCCCACAGACAGTAGGGTAGGACTTATCGATGCGCCCCGTCTGTGGAGAGGTAGGCAGAGTCACAGCCCATCCCCTCTCACACAGCCTTGTCAGTGCCCCTTCATCCTGACTCGCAGACCCCTCTCAGCCCAGCCCTGGGCTCCCCCCAGCTCTGCCAGTGTCCCCCATGTCTGACCCACCACCCCCTGCTACCCCAGCTCAGGATCCCCCACACTGGGAATCTTGTGGATTTCATGGTGCATATTGGCAATGGGCACATGGGACTCAGTCAAGGAAACTTGTTACAGCTTTGAACCACAATATTGCCCTTCCTAACCACTTTCCCCTTTAATGCCCCATGTGTGTGTGCCTGCGAGGGATGAGAGGTCCTTCAGCCTCCTAGTCTCACACAGACCACTTGCTGCTGTTACTGCTTGCTACAATTCCCACCCCCTGCCCCACCTCAGAACCCATTAGTGTTCACAAGAGGCCCATTCTCAGCTCTCCCGGGCCCTGAGCTGCGGTGCCAGCCCCTGCCTGGCCTTCACCTTGTGCAGTGGCAGCACCAGGAAGGCTCCTCCTCCACTGGCCTCCACAATCACGGCCATGAACTTGGGGTTGACGGCGCAGAAGGTGCTGTCCCAGGTGACGCGGGAGACACGGATATCATCATAGCACTGGTCATTCTTGACAGGCTGCCCGAAGACATGGCGGAATTTGCTCTGGCGCACAACCTTCCTGAACGACATGGCTGGAGGGGGACGGGGGCACAAAGCAGGGTCAGCAACACTGCAAAAGCAGTCATCTCTGGGGTGGTGGAGCACAGCACTTGCTTATACCAAGACCTTGGTACTAAGATGCAGCCACTTCTGAGGGGGAGTGTGCTAGCTATTTATATAGGACCCTTTCAGAGATGCAACCATCTCTGGGGTGGGGACCTGGCAGCTGGCACGACCCATATCTATGGCATGCAGGAGTGTAGGGCAGAAAGTGGTGGATGCCTTCAGAGCGCCAGTGTTCATGGGTGGGTGGGGGGACAAGGAGCATCGCAGAAACTGCTTTCTGAGCCCTGGCTACAGTTGTGATGGGGGCTGGGTGTCCTCCTCACCATGGAGTTGCCAGAAGATGGGACAGGACTGGAGCCCTCAGTGCCCAGTATATAGCTATGGGCGAGGGGCCCGTGGGGTGTGGTGAGCCATGAAGCCTACGGGCCAGGAGACCTCCCCAAATACCATGTGCTTTACCCCACCTCTACTCTTGCAATGGGGGTGACCCTGGTGGGGCAGGCGGGGTCTTTATGGGAAGTACCTATATCAGGGTCACATCTCAGTCAGCTCCCGCGTTAGGGGCCCCAGGACTGTGTGCGCAGTAGGGATGCGGTTGGGGCAAAGCAGAAGTAACGATTTCCGGTTTGCGATTGCAATGATGCAGCTACTGTCAACACTGCTTTTCCCCCCACTTGTCTGAGCTGAGGCCTGGGGTGGTGGCCCCTATCCCCCGCTCCTAGTGACACCCCTGGCCCACAGTGCCCCCTGCTCATTTCAGCTCCCCCCAGTCTGGGCTCAACACTGCCACCTGGCCCAGGGGTCTTCCCAGGGTCCCTGGCTCCAACCCCCCACCTCCGCCCTGCCAGAGCCAGGCACCCCCCTCCCAGCCCACACAAACCAGCCACCCCGACCAGGGAGCGGGCCACCCCAACCCCACTCAGCCAGGAGCAGCTGGACAGGGGCAGCTTCCTTCCCCCTGGGGGCAAGGCAGGGTGGCCGCCCCGGCGGGGGCAGCGGAGGCGGTGAAGTGGTGGGGCTATGGGGCAGGGGAGCAGGGTGCTGGGTGCCTGGCAGGGGCGGCGTGGGGCTGGGGGGCATTTTGGCAGGGGGGGGGTTGGCGGCAGAGCCACGCCCGGGGCCGGCGGGGGCGGAGGAGGGCGCGGGTTTCCC